TGCCCTTGGCGATATCCTTGATTTTTCAACACTTTTGCAAATCTATCAAACCATGCTCTTGGTGATTGTTTGAGTCCATATAGTGATTTCTTTGGCTTGCATACTAAACCTTTTTCCTCCTCTTTACAAAAGCCTGGCGGTAATGTCATAAATACTTCTTCCTCCAATTCCCCATTCAAGAATGCATTTTTAATATCAAGTTGCTGAAGAGGCCAGTCCAAATTTACTGCTATTGACAGAAGGACTCGAACTGTATTCAACTTTGCTACTGGGGCGAATGTCTCTGTGTAGTCAATACCATAGGTTTGAGTATATCCTTTTGCAACCAATCGGGCTTTATACCGATCTATTGTCCCATCTGCTATGTGTTTGAAGCTGAAAACCTTTACATCCCACGGGTTTCTTTCCTTGTGGCAACTCCATTACTTCCCAAGTTTTATTTTTTTTCAAAGCACGCATTTCTTCCAAAACTGCCTCCTTCCATTCTGGAACTCCCAATGCCTCCTGAATATTCCTCGGGATAATCGTATTGTCAAGGCGTGCTGTAAAAGTACGGAATTCTGAAGATAGAGCAGTATATGACATGAATTTTGAGATAGGGTGTTGAGTGCATAACCGTGGTTGTTTTCTGAGGGCAATGGGTAAATCGGTATTAGATAACTCTGATACTTTTTGAGGTGGAGCTACCATCGGTTCTGATTCTTTTGGTGCTTCAGTCGTGAGATTCTCTGTGTACTTTGATTTTGGCTTTCGTGAGTAAACTAATATCTCCTTATCCTTTTGTTTTTCTACGTCTCCCCCTGTATTCAAATTTTCTTTTGGTAATGGCATATTAGCATTGGATGGAGGAATAAGTAGAGAAGGTTCAGGAGAAGAGAGATTGAAGTCAAAGAACCGATCTTCTGTTAATGTCTCCCCCTGAAGAGAGGTTTGTTCAAAGTATGGTTTATTTTCGAAGAAGGTGACATCAAGACTTACAAATGTTCGTTGTGTGGGCGGAACATAGCATTTGTATCCTTTTTGTGTAGGAGAGTAGCCAATGAGGACACATTTAATTGCCCGGGGATCAAGTTTGTTTCTTTGATGGGGATCGACATGTACGAAGGCAGTACATCCAAATACTCGTAGGGGTAGATTAGAGCTAAGACGAGAAGTTGGGAAATATTTTCGGAATTTTTGGATGGGAGTTTCAAAATTTAGGGCTCTACTAGGCATTCGGTTGATGAGGTAAATGGATGTAAGGACAGCATCCCCCCAGAATTTTTTTGGCATGTTTGTAGTGAACATTAGGGAACGAGCGACTTCTAATATAAGTCTATTTTTTCGTTCAGCAATCCCATTTTGTTGGGGAGTATCAACGCTTGAACTTTGATGAACTATGCCATGTGTTCTGAGATAGTCGCCTAAGATGTTATTGAAGTACTCTGTGCCATTATCAGTGTGTAAGACCTGAATTTTGGTTTGGAACTGTGTTTGAATCATAGTGTGGAAGTTGACAAACATGCCCCGAACTTCAGATTTATCTTTTAGTAGGTAAATCCAACAAATTCGAGTATGATCGTCAATGAATGTGACAAACCATTTAGAGAGTACGATTTGGAATCCATGAGGGACCCCATACATCGCTATGAATCATAGAGAATGGCTTTGATGGTTTGTATACGGATTTTGGAAATGGTGTACGCTGATGTTTTGCAAGTTCACAAATTTCACATTGAAGATCAACTGTCTTTTTATTCGAAAAAATAGAAGGTAGTACACGTTTTAGGTATTGAAAGTTGGGGTGTCCCATTCTAAAATGCCATAACATAATTTCGCTATTTCTAAGAATAGACGCAGAATCACAAATTTTAATTTGACACTATTCACCCACATCTGCCTTGTCAAAGTAATAGAGTCCTTCACTTTCTTTAGCACTGTCAATCGTCTTCCCCGATGATAGGTCCTGAAAAATACAGTAAGATGGGAAAAATTTAGCAGAACAATGTGAGGATTTTGTTAACTGACTTATAGACAGTAAATTGCAAGATAGATTAGGAACATGAAGAACAGATTCCAAGGTTATAGAATTAGAGATTTGAATAGTCCCTTTTCCTGCTATGGTGGACAGAGATCCATGTGCAATTTTAACCTTGAGATTACCGGCACATGGGGAGTAAGATGAGAATAAGTGGTAGGACTCTGTCATGTGGTCCGAGGCTCCTGAGTCAATGATCCAGGGTGTTTTTGGTTGAGTGGCAGATTTTAAGGCCCTCAAAAAATTACCTTTGTGCGCTAGTGAACTTGACGGGTTATTGGTTTGGTTTGATGATTGTAGGCTAGAAAACATTTTGTAGAGCTGTTCCATCTGCTCGGCATTAAATGCACCACTTGATTCCTTAGACTTTCCTCCCTGATAGTCAATTGATGCCTGATTTCCACGGTATTTATTACTTTGTCTAGGCTTCCAGTTGGCGGGTTTTCCATGCAAATCCCAACACGTGTCTTTGTTATGTCCTGGTTTACGGCAATGCTCACACCAAGGTCGTCCTTTTTGCTGCCTTGGGTCTGACCCATTTGTCGTTCCTTTTAAATAAAAGCCCGTATTCTCAGGCCCATTTGTTGACCCAAAATTAGGATTTCCTGGGCCATATTTTAAAAGGCCCAGCCCATTGCCTTTTAGCCCACCGTTAGATGGCCCAATAGCCGACCCGGTAGATAACCCAATTCCTTTTGACAATAGGGCTGAAGATTCACTCGTCGAAATCGATCCACCCACGCCTGAAGGACCTCCAGTCATCTCCAACATAATTTTTCTCCGGCTTTTTTCTCGTCTGACCTCTGCGAACACTTCCCTCGTCGACGGTAAGGGTTTCCGGCTAAGGATTCGTCCCCTCACCTCATCTAGGTCGCGATTCAGTCCGGCCAAGAATTCGAAGACCCTTTCGTTTTCCAGCCTTTTTTTAAATCGAGCACTGTCGCCTGCGCAATCCCATGCTTCTTCGGTGCTCAAGTCGAGTTCTTGCCACAACGTTGACATCTGCATGTAATATTCAGTTACTTCTCGATCGCCTTGCTTGGTTTGCCAGAGTTTAGTTTTGATTTCGAAAATTTGGGATGAATTTTCAGAGTCAGAATATGTCTCTCTGACTGCATCCCATACATCTTTTGCAATGGGCAGAAACAGGTAAATTTTTCCGATGGTGGGTTTCATGGAGTTTATCAGCCACGCAGTCACCAATGAGTTTTCTGAGTTCCATTTTTGGAGAAGAACCGTGTTGGTTGAGGCCGGCTTCGTTATCTCCTCAGTCAGGTAACCTAATTTCCCTTTCCCATCGACAATTAACTTGGTGGATTGAGCCCATTCTCGAAAATTTTTCCCGTTCAGTTTTTCAACCGTTAATTGGAATGATGAATTCTCTCCCATGCCTATGGCAAAGCCAAATTCTGACTCTCCATTGAAGAAGTCAGAGGTTGTAGATCCTCTGCTATTGGCTTCTGTCATTATTTTGGCTGATTAGTTAACGAGCCTGAGCTCTGATACCATGTAGAGAAAGATTATAAATTTCTTCTTCTTGAATATGAGCTATACATCGCCCCTTTTTATAGTACAAAGAAGGGAAAATAAAAGGAAAGAAATAACTGCCTACCAAATCTAAAGATTACAATAATCAATCAATCCTTTAATTACAACTCTAACTATGGAAATAAATAATCCCTAAAAATCGTGATTTCATCAGTACTTTTCAGAAAATCGTGTGTCGGCGTATTTGAGACGTATTGTGTCGGACACGTGTTCGTGTCGGTGCATCATAAATAATTATTTAGTAATGTAAACTATGTTCATTGATTCATATAATGTTTTATAAATGCGAACTTGGAAAGTGCATTAAGCATCTTCCTTTTAGGTTCAATAAAATCTATTGTATTATACACACTTTGCAAATTATGCTGAACACTTTAATTATACAAATGCATATGGAATTCTTGGTACTTAGTGAATTCCTTGTCTTTCGTGAGTAGTTGGTTTCTGTAATTATAACTATTCTAACAAATTTAAAATATTTATGAATTAATTATTGATTAAATTGTGATTTGATTGTCTAAATCACTCATCCAACTTCATATTCAAGTTATTTTGATCTTTGACATGAATGTCTTTTGTTTAACATCTCTTAATTTCTTACCTTACATGATATTACATTGAACGTTTCCCCATTAGATATATATGGTTGCACTAGAATATATAAAATAAGAAATGGTAATATATGCTAACATAGAGGATGAATTAAAAAATGACAGATAAGAAGTTAAGAACATTTCTTGCTAAGACCTAACGCTCCCATTCGTAGGTATAATGCAATTTTAACATAACACAATTAAAGAAGGTAGAGGTTGATTAAAATGACATATTATGGTTGCAAATATTTGATTTACTGACCTTTGACGAGGGAGTGATTATGGATCATATGTGGTGGTGAAAAAGATATTCCAGGCAACTAAGCCTATTAGGAATAAGGTTTAAATTGCATTTGTTCAATTTTCGGTAATATAAAGGTAAAAATAAATAATTTTTCATTGAACTACTTGACAAAGTGTGAATCAAAGTTTTAAATATTTGTATCCATTCTCAATTTTTTTTATTTTTTATTATTATTATTATTATTATTTTAACCAAAATCTTGATCTACAATCTCTTTATTGATATCTTGAAAAATCTCAAAATGATAGAAATATCTATATTACAATATTGACTGTCTATGAAGCATTTTTCTTTTACTTGCTTTTCTCGAACATTTCTGTTTATTTACTTTTAAACTAGAATATAATGTTGCTTCTATGATAGACTAATTGTTGCACATTGAAATATCTGATGCAAAATAATAGCTAAGGAATTTTCATCAACGTTGATAACGTTTTACAATTTTAAGAATCTCAGTACATGATTTTTTATTTTTTTATGTTCTTTCATTAAATATAATCAATTATTAATTTTATTTAAAAAAGATAGAAGACTTTACCGTTGATTCTCTTGCAAGTTTTGCAGCTGTTGGCTCAACACAGCAGCTTCCCTTTGCCAAAACTATCAAGTAAAATAGTGCCATTTATAAAATTATGGAAATAATATAAATATTTTAAAATGTCAAGTTTCTAGTTATGCCAATTAACAATATACATATGTATACCTAGAGCACATATATAGAAAATATTTTAGAAATGTTGTACCATAAAGCACTATAAAGTCACATTGATATGAGCATAAAAGAAAATTAACTCCATCAATTTAGCTCCTTTAATTGCTCCTATTAACAGAATTATGATACAACTATACAATTAGCTCATAAATTATGCTAGTTACAATTATATAATTAGCTCTTAAGATAAAGCTAACTACAATTATATTCCACGCCCCCTCAGGTTGTTTCGAAAATGTCTTATCATTCCTAACTTGCTAACACGTAAGAAATACAAATTTGAGTCAACTCTTTGGTAAGGACACTATCTGATTGTTTTCCACTTACAACGAAATGGAATACACATCAATCTTTAGTAATATGACTACCGTGCTTTATCATGTCAAAGTAAATAGGATTATAACGAATGTTAATAGTAACTATGTTATTGAAGTATCAACTCGTTGTTCAATCGAATCTTCAACCATAGTAGTTATATATTTCTTGAGTCATTGATCTAACATGGCTTTATCACTTGATCTAGCCACTACATACTGCTTATTACTTCTCGAAATAACTAAATTTCCTCGGACAAACATAAAGCTCCCGTTTGGCTCTCATTAAAACAAATTATAAATTTTGGAAAAGTATTTTTTTGGATAATGTGTGATTGAAAAAGAAGGAAAATTTTTTGGTTTATATGTAATATTATTTTATTGAAGAATGTGTGGTAAAAAAAAATAAAAAAAAATAAAAAATAAAAAGAGAGAGAGAGAGAGAGAGAGAGAAACGTGTTATAAATTTATTGGGGCTCATATGTGGCAAAATATCCAGCTGTAAACCTTCTATCACACACTGAATCAACCAAATCAACATTTGTATTACTTCTCCTTAGAGGTTATAATTCATTGAGGAAACATGTCAATTCCAAGAGTACCTTTCAAGTACCCTAGAATCTCAAAAACTACCATGTTATAGGTTTCACAAAGAAAGTGATATATATGCTCACCATTATTTGCATCAAATGCAATATGTGGTGTAGTGTAAGACAAATATAAAACTTACCATCCAATATTTGTTATAAACCTCTATCAACTTCAACGCTCTCAATGTAGCTCTGGAACTATGTTTTAGATCAATTGGAGTGTCTCTTGGTTTGCAGCCTTAATACAGGAGATCTAAGACATACTTTCTCAATGGTAGAAATATCCATTTACTAGACCTTGCAATTATAATGCCTAGAAAGTATCTTCTTTCCTCAAACCCTTAATTCTTGAATTCTTTTGTAAGAATTCTCTCAAGTCTCTCAATCTCATCAGTATCAGCATCAGCGATAGTAACAATGATGTCATCCACATAGACAATTAAGGTAAGGATTATTTTTTCTATCTTTAAATTGTTTAAGGAACAAAGTATGATGATTTTGGCTTTTAGTATAATCAAATCGATGAATTCCTTTTAGCTTCTTGAACTATGCTCAGGTGATTGTTTTTGTCCGTATACGGACTTCTTCAATTTGCACATTTTGCTTTCAAAACATATCTTTAAAAAGAAGTGCACAAATGAGAAATAGGGGAGAATGAAAAGGGCGCCCTACCTACAATGAAACTAAAGCCTATGATGCTCGGACTCCGGTCTGGGTATCGGGTACCAGTACGTATATAAGTGTTAGATCTTTTATTTTTTAAAATCTAGGATAAGGGGACATGATGAAAAAGAGTCTAAATTTCGGACACGGGTACTGGTACCTCTTTCAAGCTTCAATTTTTTTACTAATTGAAGATGTTATTTTGAGTAGACCAAAATCAACTGTTCATAAAGAAGGAAATGAGTATTGAATAAGGGATTAAAACGAATAAAATATAATTTTCCGATTTATTTTTCAATTATGAGAAGTTAATTATTCAAATGTTAAGTAAAATAGAAAAGAAGAGACTTGATTGCAATTTGGACTTAGTGGAGCACTAAGTAGCATTATATGGAACCAATTTTCATTTTATATGGAATCAATTTTTATTTTATTCAAAGAAAACTCTAAACCACAGATATAGAGAGTGAAAGAAAGAAAAAGAAGAAAAGGGAAAGAAAAAAGGAAGAAGAAGAAAGGAAAGCCTAGAGTCGTAACCTTTCTCCATCCTCTCGGAGGCCGCACTAGGTTTATAGAGAGTGAAAACGGATAGAAAAGGAAAAGAAAAAAAGAAGCAAAAAAGGCGAAGTGTCCTGTTGAAACTTAGATGATCAGCACTTATCCCATATCCGTACCCATGTCATGTTGTGTCCGACACGGGTACTCCGACCATTTCGAAGAATCCGAAGATCAAAGACTAAAGCCCCAACGAGCAATTGCATTTTCTAACTGAAATGAAATACTATTACTAGAATGGAATTGTACGTCTAAAATAGTCCTAAACAACTTTCTTAGGAGCAATTGGTATTCAAGATCATAAAAATCAAGTTTTATGGCAAGATTAGAAATTGCTATGTTTTAAAAGATTTTTGCTCGGTTGAGGTGATGGGTGATCTTGTGAAGATTGTGTCTTATTCTTCTTGAGTAATCCTTTAAGTTATAGCCTATAGCATGTATGCTTTCAAGTGGAATGCTAGTGGTGTGGAAGCAATAATAAAATGATTGTAATAAGAATTATGTCTTAAGAAGAATATTGAAATAACTTACTTTATTGTTGATTGAATAATGATTGGTGTTATGAAAAAAGTTTACAATACCTCTATATTTGTAGGCAAGATAATTCCTCGTCCTATTAATGTAAGGAAACTAAAATAAGAAAACTAATAAAAATCCTAATCTAAAAGAAATTGAAAAACCTATTCTAATTAATAAAATAAGAAATCCTATTCTAAACAAAATATTAGAATAAAAGGATAAAACCTATTACAGCTAAATATCTTATTATAATTATCTAACTTTTACTCTAATTACAATAGGATTGTCCTACATCATTCTCTCACACTTGAAAGAAACTCTTTCCTCGAGTTTGGTTGAAGAGAAGAAAATTAATAAATCGGGAGGAGAATACTCAAAAACAAAAATTTCTGTCAATACTCTGATATTTAAAACATTTCAATTTCTTGATGTGCTTGATAAATGTTATATTCTTCATCTGTTAGGGCTTGCATTGTGTATGTGCCCTCATGCTCAAGTAATCTGGCAAACTGACAATGTAAATAGAAGCTATCACAGATTCAACACTCTTATCAATCCCAGCAACATCTTCTGACATAGATGTAGTGATTTTGAAACATGAATTTTTTTCCTTTTGGTAGTGATCTGATGGCTGGTAATAGTGAGGTGAATAAAATTCCCATTCAGTTAGTTTATCTACAGGAACTGAAACTGTAGTTGGTACATTTTGAACAGTCACCTAGCATGTCTCCAATAGCTAAGAAAACACCAAATATTTCCTGCTTAGGCATTCCCAGTGAAGAAAATTAACTTAAGGAGCTCCATTAAGCCTCTATAGTAACTAATATGCCTGCTGAACCATGTGATTGCTTCTACAACTTTTCCACCATGCAGTAATAATGTTGACGTCTTAAAATGCAACCATTTTGTGATGCTCTTAATCTCATTTAAACTCTGGATTGGAAGCCATCTTGTTGAGATTCCAACCACCTCTTGTAGTGCATGATAGGCCTCCTCGTACATCTTCTGAGCTTTAAGCCAACCTCTGTGAAACTCTGCATATACAGCAACTTTAAAATAGTAGTGAATATGTAACTCTATTAAGCCGAAGTGTTTTTTTTTTTTTTTTTTTCAAGACGTGATTTAACTCTTCACCCTTTATCTTTATAATATGTATTTGCAAGTTTAGTGCATGCAATCCCTAGCGTGTTGAGAGATTGTTTAAGCTCTAACGGATGATTTGGTACAAAGATGATAAGATTTTTCAAATCTGCTTCTGCACGCTTCTTTAAGGAAATCATGCTATCTTTACTTATGTCATCTTTGATTTCTTCGTGACTGAAAAGTTTAATTCCCTCATCTCTTGTTGGAAACTTCTGAACTTCAAATAGTTCATCATCGAAGTGCAGCTTATTTTCAAATGTCTTTATTGGATACTCTCCCACTCAGATAGGATACAAATGTTACGATCCTTCGAAAGGAAAAGTCTTCGTGAGTCTCGATGTCACTTTTTTTGAAAACACTCCATATTTCCACCAAACCTCTCTTCAGGGGAGGAATCAAAGTGAAGATCGGTACCTAAACCTAGATCTTCTTCCCTTGGAGCCTGTCTCAATCATACTTCCTAGTTCTTCTATGCCATTAATAGGAGATAGCTTAAATTAAGGGAGAGATGCAGAAAAGCAAAGAGACAATGAGATGCTTGTCTACTCAAGAAGACCAAAAGCAAAGCAGAAGGACTTCACACTTGAAGTACCAAGAGAGTCAGAACTGATGGTAGCTCCAGAACCCTATGACACCACAAAGGTATCATAATCCTCAGATATTAATCTTCCCATTGCACTCAGAAAACAAACTTCATCATGTACTCTTCATCCCATTTCAAAGTTCATGTCCTATAATGCTCTATCAACTGAATTTCGCAGTTTTACCTCTCATCTTAACAACACCAAAATTCCCAAGAACATTTAGGAAGACTTAGAACTTTCAAAGTGGAGAGAGGCAGTGATGGATGAAATGCGAGCATTGGAAAAGAACAAAACTTGGGAGATAGTAGAGCTGCCTCAAGGAAAAAAACCAGTTGGATGCAAATGGATTTTCAACCTAACATACAAAGCTGATGGAACAATAGAAATGTATAAGGCTCGATTTGTTGCTAAGGGATACACACAGACTCTGATGCACCGACGCGGACACAAGCTCGATTTTTTGATGAAATCTTTTAAATATAAGTATTTTTTTTGTTATTTACTAATAACTTTGAGTAAA